TGCTATGACAATACTGGTTTAAAGACAAGCATCTCTTCTTTTTAAGTTCATTCTCCCGAAGTTTAATTTTTATTTTTGAATTAAGTTAGCATATCAGATGAAAGAATATGATGAACTAGTTAAGATGATTGTTTTTCCTTTTGGAAAATCTTTTTATTATTGTTGATACTATTACAGATGTCCTTCATTTCCCCTCTTTTACTGCCTCCGCTCAGCACCCTCCCCCTCTGGCCTTCACCATATTATTGTCCACATCCATGAATATATGCATATATGTTCTTTGGCTAATCTCTTCCAGTCTCCCCACACCTGTCCCTCTGAGCTCTGTCAGTCTGTTCCATGTTCCTATGCCTCTGGTCCTATTTTGTTCATTAGCTTCCACGTATAAGTGAGATCACGTGGTATGTGTCTTTCTCTGACTGGCTTATTTCACTTAGCATAATATTCTCCACATCCATTCATGCTGTCTCAAAGGGTAAGAGTTCTTTCTTTCCATTGTATAAATGTACCACATCTTTTTTTGTCCACTCATCTACTGATGGACACCTGAGCTGTTTCCAGATCTTGGCTATTGTAAATAATGCTGCTATGAGCATAAGGACACATATATTCTTTCTGATTGGTATAAATATACATATATATCTTCTGTATATCTTGGTATATATCACATCTTCTTTTGTGATAAGACTTACTTGGCTGTCAGATTGAATGTGATTTGTATTGACTTTTGTAATTCCTTGTTGACATATTTTCTTTTTGTTTAAATATTTTTTAATATTTTGTTACAATATACATAACAAAATTTATTATTTTAACCATTTTAAGTGTACATTTGGTGGCATTACAATCATATGGACGAGCAACCATCACCACCACCCATCTTCAGAACTATTCCATCTTCCCAAACTGAAACTCTGTACCCGAGAAACACCAAGACTGCATTTTTCAGACATGTTTTAAAACTATTATATGTGTATACTGTATGAAATATGTACCTGACCAGGATTTTCATTCCAGCAAGATTAAAATTTGTGCCAAATTTCAAAGGATATTTCCTACTGCAAATTCACTCCTGTTAACCCCTGTTTCTAACATCCATGTTAGCTTTCAACCCAATTGCCTTACAAATTCCCTTTGGAGAGGTACAGAGGATGGATGTGGATGGGCTAAAGGAGCTACCTGATACAGTCCACCACCTTCGCCCCTTAGCAAGAGCCATGGTCACAATGTAGTCTTGTCCTTCAGCTCGGTGAGAATTTTGCATCCTTACTAGAGAGGAGCCCAGTCCTATAAGCTCCCATATAATGATATTGTTTTGGCCAGATTTCCTGCCTGGGACCCAGACCATCACAGTTAATATTACTCTTACAAAGTATCTGGGCAAATGGGCAAAAGTCATGGTTAATAAACATAAAACATTGCTGTTATAGACTCAGGTGGTCCAAAAGACCAAATGAGACCATTGTGACTGCCTTCCTGCACTGCTCATTCTGCATTCACCTTCTTTTCAATTAGTACCTCAGCTACATGTGGTTCTTAACCTGATAGAGTCCTTCACATTTTTGTTTCTATGGACCTTTGGATTGCTTCAGTTTTGTATTGAACAGGACACCTCTCTGGCACTTGTATTCATCTCTCCAGCCCTCCAGTGGCCCACTTTCCTGAACTTTTCATTTATTTTTTTAAAGATTGTGCTGACCTGCGAACCAAATTGTTACTGGTTTGATTTCCAATCAGGGTACATGCCTGGGTTGCTGGCCAGGACCCCAGTAGGGGGTGCATGAGAGGCAACCACACATTGATGTTTCTCAGCTTGGCACTCAATTCACTGAGCCACACCAGCCAGGGCCCACTTTCCTAATCTTGGTTCTGTGGTATAAGAAGCCCCAAAGCAGCCAAGGGATAGTCTTAGCTTCCAATTTTGAAGAGCATCAAATAAAGAGATTATTTACAAACATATGGGCATGTTGTAGAGAAGCTCTTAGGAGTAGTGCAGTATCCTGGAACTGAAATAGAGGGGTTAGGGTCACACCTAGGACTGAAGGAACAGGAGCAGAAAGCAGTAATTGAAACCTGAGGGCAGTGAGGCTGTGTGTGTGTGTGTGTGTGTGTGTGTGTGTAAATGATGATTTTTAGTCAGATTGGCAGCTCACCACAGCAACCCAGAAAGAAAGAAAGCTGAGACAACAAACAATCCAGCCTCACTGTCTTCCATTCCTGCAATCTCCTGCTTGTTATTGATTCTTACTTAACCCACCCAGCACCCAGAACCCAGATGGAAGAGAGTCAATTGTTCTAATACTTATAGGTCAGCTCTCTGGGAAACAGAGCCGGGAGGAGCAGAATGCAGGTTGGATCAGCAAAAACCAACAGGAGATGTCTAGAGCAGCTAGTGTGTGTTAGACACACTGCAGAATTCCATGACATACTTTGGGATGAGAAGATATACTTCCATTATGCAAACACTTAAAGACCTAATGGTGAAGTCATGTAATGGAGTATGATGTATGTAAAAAACTCAATACAGTACATTAAAACAATTGCACAGAAAGCTAAAATTTGACCTCTTAAAAGCTCAATTGATTTTTTTCCCATTTCCTGTCAGGATGAATGACACCATTTTTCTATACAATCACACATTCCAAAAACCCAGGAGGCATGAAAATACATTTCTCTCATTCCTTACATTCAGACTCATTGATTCCTAGCATTTGCACAATTGTTGTGTCTCTTGCATTCTGATTTTCATTCCTTACCCAACTTCACCCACATGGGCTGAAATAATTGCAGCTTGTCATGTGGCACTTCTCCTCTGGCTTCCCCCTATTCTCCAGAATCACATTTCAAATATGTAATTCTGAATATACTGTCATAAGTTTAAAATCTTCCTTAATAGCCAGAGGTGACATTTCTTTTATGATGGTCCACTTTTTAATATGAATATTTAACTATTTTAACTCCATGGAATATGTACTTTTATTATCTGTGTCTTTCAGATAGTAAACTGAGGCACAGGTCAGTTCCATCAGTAACCCACGGTCACAGGACCAGTGAGCCGCAGAGCCAGGATGAGTCTGGTTCCACCCTCCCACTTTCATCACTCTAAAATACGAAATATGCATGATACTAGAAGTGCTAAAAAACCAAATATTATATGTTCCTTACATACTTTATGGTGCTTATGCTTTAGTACTTATCAGGCAGAATTCTGTCCACCTTAGATACTGTAATTCCACTAATTTTAATAATAAATATAATGAGTAAGAAATTATTGTCCCCTATTGACAGGTAAAAAAAAATAGAATCAGGGAGAGTTTTGGTAACTACCCTAAGCTCATATAACTAAATAGTAAAGCCAGCATTTAAACCGAGAACCTTGGTTGAACCACCATGCATACCGCCTCCAGCTTCTTAGGAGTTCCCTGGCCTGGATAACAGTCATTAATCCCTAGGCACATAACACCTTCATAATAAGCTCTTTGCCTTCCTTGAATGTTACTGAGCATATATTTTCCTCAATCCCCTTGTTCAGTAGTGCTTTCTTGTGCTGCATCTGATAAGCATCCTCACTGCCTTTATACTTTATGAGAAAGCCACCTCATTTCTCAAAATGTAGACACCACCTCACTAGTCAAGCCTTCTTAGGTCTTCTTGCTGCCTTGTGGCTGCAGACTGAATTGCTCTCTCTGGGGTGCTAAGAGCTGCTACCTGCATAGCATGGCATTTACATATTATTGTAACCATTCACCTGTTTGTCACTTCCCCATAACCTTAGCACTTTCCAAACCTCTATTTTGAGGGAGGGTGGGAGGAGGAATAGGAAAGGATGATGGTCACATTTGTGAGCTGAGTTGAAAGCCAACTATTATAGAACTGACAAAAAGCCTTCTTCACATTTGACTATGATAGACAATTTCATTCTTTCCTAGCTTTTCCTAGCCATAGGGGTCAACCCATGAGTCTCTTATTATGATTTCTCCTGAAGCAGAAAATTCAGAGGGATTGTGCCCACTAAAGAAAAAGTCAAATTTCCTTCTAAATGGTCATTAGGTTCATCCCTCCAGGAAAATGAGGCTATAACTCTGTCTTTAAACTGTTCTAACTCAATATAACTAACTGTAGCATATGCTTGAACTACTGAGGCTTGGGGGATTGGGACCTATGTTCTAACCTGCTGCCACTTTCCCTGGGGCAATAGCTCACCTGATGGAGTTTATAGACCGAAGACAATCAACATCTAGCCTGGAGGAAGCAATCTGTCAGTGGAATGAAGCCGATGGCTAGACCCAGTCATGACAGTGGATATTCTTAACAGTAGGGTTGCCAGATCTAGCAAATAAAAGTTACAGGCTGCCAAATATTACATGGGAAATATGTGTACCAGAAAATTATACTCTGTGCAGACAAATAAAAGGAAGGTTCTATGGAAAGTAACCTCACAAGGTGATCTGATTATAAATTCTTAACGGGGCGGGTAATGGTAGGTAGTCACACCCCAGGCATATAACTTATTAGTAAAAGGTTTATCTTTGCTCCAAGGAAGCTCTGTTCATTGTTTCTGTACATTTAGGTTAACATACTTGAAATATGCTGCAAACATCAAGAGAGCTGATATTCTAGTTGGCCATCCTATAATCCATTTCCCACCTTGCTTTCACCCACCTCCATGTAATCTTCCTTACATGTCTTCCTTAATTTCAAATGCACAAAAGAAGCTGCAAAATTGTTATTCTCCAGAATATTTAAAATCTTGCTCTTGGCATATGTCATCAGCTTGGCTCAAATATACTCATAAGAATTCTCTACAGGTTTGGACGTTTTTATAGGAATAACTGTTTATTTGATATTCAAATTTAACTGGGATTCTTACAATATTTTTCAGTAACACCAATTGAGAGTTCATTACTACAGAAAAAAAGATGTGGAAATATATGATTTCTGGAACTTCTTGCCCCTGTTATCGCTGTTTCTGAACCCCGTCACTTGTTACCACAGGTGTAATGGAATCTACAGGACACCCTCTCCCCAGACACTGTGTTGTCCTGCTCCTCCTTCAGATGATAGCACCAAGTTCAGGTATGACTGTCTCTCCTCTCTGTATGAACCAAGGTAACATCAAGTGTGCAGACAGTGTGAGGATCAAACAAAAGAGTCAAGCTCTTTTGACTATTGATCTTCAGGTTTCATACCTAGTGATGGAATTAGGATGTGTGCTGTAGGATCCAGGTATGGTTGGGGAAAATTATTTCTAATCAGCAAGTCTTCTTTATCATATACCTCAATTTGTGTTAACTTCCTGGGAGAAGAAACAAATGAAGAGGAACTAATACTTGCCCTTGAGAACCCAATATTCATATTGATGACACATAATTTATGTGTCACTTAAACAGTGAGTAAATGGTTCAAGATATGAATCCACAATGGAATCCATGTGACTTATCAGTACAGTCGGGCATCTGATGAGGAAGGATGGAGTAGGCTGGTGGGAGCTTGACAGGTGATAAAACTTGCATGTGTAAAGGGATCTGAGCCAAGCAGGAATAAGTAGAACTTATTTGCAGACAAATAAAAGAAAGGCCTAAGATAATAAATGGCATGAGAGCTAGAATTTTCTAGCAAAAGTAACTTGTTAAATGGCAGAAGCTTATTGAAGCACATTTTTTTTGTACCTGTCTCTGGTTGAGAAAAGTAACATCACCACAAATATCTTGCACATGTATTTTGAGCAAACCTGTGAGCACATAGGTCGGAAATGTCCCAATGAGTAGAACCACTGGTCAAGGTTATGTGTCATTTTATTACATTGAAAATGTTATTCTGAACTAGTTACTAACATACATTTCCACCACCAGCATACGTGAGTTTGTCGGGGGGCAGTACTATTTCAGATATTACAGGAATTACAGGTATTATAGCTCTTTGTCTTTTCCAAAGTTACAGATGAGAAGTGAATCTCATAGTGATTATATTTTACCATTTTATTAATGAGTAAAAATGAGTATCTTTCAAAAAAATGTATTTCTTTTTTTCCAGAGCTGTCTACATATGTCTTTTTTGCACTGTTGATCTTTCTTTTGTCAGTTTTTAAGGATTTTTCAATATTAGGAATTAGTCTTTGATCTGTTGTTTTTGTTCCACCCCAGAAAACCCAGAATAATTTTCTAGGGGACAGGCCCCCTTGTAGTGCAGGCTTCCTCTGCTAGGTGAGTGTTCCAGGAATCCATCTGTATCAGTGCACCAGGTGATAGGGTTGTGAGAAGCTGTGTTCAGCTTCAGTGAATTTTTTTTAAGACTTTCAACACATTTTCCCATTTCATGATGGGTGAATTATGAGCACACCTGCCCACACTGTGCTGAGTGTTCAGCAGTTTTTGTCCCAAACCAGCATGACCCCTGTGCCACACCTTCCCTGTTCACCTAATCTTGCCCAAGAGGCTTTTTTTTGTTTTTCTGGATGAGGAAAGTCCTCAAAGGGAAGTATTTCACTGATGTGGAAGAGATGAAACAGAAAACAGCAGAAGCATTAAAAGGCATCAAAATTGACAAGTTCAAAACTGTTTTGAGCAGTGGTAAAAAGTCACCATAGGTATATTACATCAAATGGAAAGTACTCTGCAGGTGATTGAAGTTTAAACATGTAAGAATAAATACTCAATTTTTAATCAATAAATTCCATGTGTTTTTGGTCCCCTCTCATACCAAACTAGTTTACAACTCAATTCATTGACTTGCTAATTATATTTTAGATATGTAGAATTTTGTTTTGTTTTGATCCTTTATTTTACTTTGTGGATTTAATATTCACCACCACCACCCCAAGTCCTCCTTTCTCTCCTCACTGACTTTTGAAATTTTCCTAGACTTTATTTTCTAGAGCAGTTTTAGATTTATGGAAAAATTGTGCTGAAAGTACATAGTTTCCCTATGGCCCCATTCCCTTTCCTCACCCCCCAAATTTTCCCTCTTATTAACATCTTACATTAATGTGGTACATATATTATAATTAATGAATCAATGTTGATAGATAATTATTAATAAAGTCCCAGTTTACATTAGGGTTCATCTTTGTGTTTTACAGCTCTCTGATTTTTAACAAATTGTCATACAAAAGAATCCAATGGCCTTTGGATATTGGCCCCATGCTGCTTACACCTTTATAGCAGCCTGAGACCCACCAGCCTTAAACTCTGCCAGAACAAAATTCAAATATTTACACTTCCAGTTGCTTTAAATATATCTCACATAAACATATTTTTAGCAACTTAATGACTGTCTGCTTTATATACCCTATGAAGCTGCATCCAACATTTGCTAGCCATAGATAAGCAAAGCCCTATAACTATTGGGTTGACCAAAGGGTCCATTTAGTTTATCTGTAAAACAAAAGACATGTTTTTCATTTTCAGCAATAACTTCATGGATTTGGAGATTTTGAGTATGTCGGCCATCTCCTGCTATTGGCTTCTAGTGGGTAGAGGCCAGGAGTGCTACTGAATATCTTCTAATGCACAAGACAGCCCCACAGCAAAGAATTACTTGGCCAAAATGTCAGTAGTAGCAAGAAACTTCACAAACCACTTTTGACACATTCAATCAGTCACAGTACCTTCTCCATACACTGTGCAAATACTTTATTTTTTGCATTTCAGTTGCATTTTTACCTTTCTTGAAATAATAAAGTACAATATAGTAAAAATGTTGCATTTCTTCTTCCATCTTCAATATTAAAATGGCTGCATAAAATTTACCAATTTTGTTAAGATTTTTATAAATGATCACTGATATGATAGCTGTCACAATATAATCTGACAAAATGGTTTCGAATGAAGTTGAAGACAACTAAGTGTTACTAGAGCCATCTTACGGAAAAAACTGAAGGAACTTTTTGGCCAGCCAATATGAAGGCCTCAGCTACTGCATTTCTTCAGAGCTCCCTACTCCCTGCTGTGCTATGGACGATGCTACCTAGACACAGAGCCCCTCTCAGCCCACTTCTCCCAGGGCAGTTCCCTTGCCCTCCTCTCTCCAGGCTGGTGTTCCCTTCCGGGGCCTCTAGAGGTTTTCAGGCAGGGAGGACTGCCTGCCACTTGTGTAGCCCTGTGGGGTTGCTCAAATCCAAGCTCACTGTGTGCTATTGCCACCCTGTGGTTGTGTCTTTTTCCTTTATCAGCCCTGAAATGATCCAATTTACCACCTACATGCATGTTACATATCCACCATTACAGTATCATACAGAATTATTTACCACATTAAAAATGCCTTCTGCTTCACCTACTCATCTCTTCCTCCCCACGGAGCCCTGACAGACACTTCTGTCTTTACTGCCTGCATATTTTTGCTTTCTCCAGAATGTCACATAGTTGGAATTGTATATGGCTTTCTATTGTAGGAAACAAAAAGCTAACAAACTCATTTAGAAGAGATACACAATGACTTAGTAAGCGTTTTAGTAAACTTTCCTACTTTGAGTAGGAAAGTTTGAGTCCAAAGATTAAAACACCCTCCACCAACAGTAGAGAACAACATACTCTGGATGGTGCAGGAGTCTCCCCTGCACAGTCTACTAGAGTGAGGTATTATCCTTGGAGACATACGCAGAAAATCTCTTTTTAATAAAAAAAAACTTACCTATAAAGCAATCTTTCTGTTCAAAGGAGTGAAAAAGGGTAATCTGTCAAGTGTTGAGGTCAGTGCAGATTTCTGCCGTCTAAGCAGGAATGGTTGGTGGTTGGCCCGAGGGTAAGAGAGAGCGAGCAAGAGTAACGACCACAGATATTTTCTGGAGAAGACTTCACTTGCCTGTGCTGGTCAGTCAGCTTACAGTATTTGATTAACCACTTAGTACACAGAGCCCTTTGATACGGACTGGTGGAACGCCCCTTTTAACTGGTCTTTGTTCTTCTATTTTCTTGAAACTTTCATCTTAATCTTAAAGAAAATTAAATTGGGGGGTCTCTGACAAGATACTAACCATAAGGTGGTCCTATAGGTGGTGTTTGTAAGGGGTATTTAGAACCCGTTGTTACTGAGAATGGTAGAAATGCAGATTGTCCTTATGAGTCAAGTTACAAAATTAATGTAGAATTATTAGGAACAGAAATATGTAATGTGTATATATATATATGCATATTTTTACAGTATATAAATGTGGTAGAATAACCTCCAACACCTCACTGAAACATGTGGAATAGCATTTATGTGTGTGTAAGTATATGTAGTTACATATATGTATACAGTGATTCGAATACAAAGTATGACCTGGCTCACACTCTCACTGTTTGGTTACCGTCTCCCTTCCCAGAACAGTTTACAGTGACTGGCTTACAGGGGAAAATCTTGGCTCCATTGGGTGGACTAGTTGAGCTCAGCTGTCAGCTGTCCCCACCACAAAGTGCAGAACACATGGAGATACGCTGGTTCCGGGACCGCTACACTCAACCTGTTCACCTGTACAAGAATGGTAAAGACCTGTATGGAGAAACTATCTCCAGATATGTGGAGCGGACAGAGCTCCTGAAAGGAGCTATCCGAGAAGGTAAAGTGATCCTCAGGATCTTCAATGTCAGTGTTGATGACGATGGGCAGTATCACTGCTTCTTCAAGGATGGTGATTTCTATGAAGAAGCCATCGAAGAAGTGAAGGTTACAGGTAAGGGTGGAACCCTTTGAGGCTTCTATGCATCCATGATTCTCAAACCATCTGAGGCTAAATATTAGGAAAATTCTCAGTGTTTCTACCTGTTTTTATATTACATGGTTAGCAAGTTCAAATCCATGCATTTCATCTTAGAACTGAGGAGAGCATAGGATTAAGAATGCAAATTGTGTCTGCACATATTATGTTTATCAGCCAGAACTCTTTTCCCATGTCTACACGTACTGTTAGATCTGTAAAGTATCAACAGAACCCTTTCAGGATTTGTTACTATTCTTCTAATTATTCCTGACAACACTTTAGCGAAACCTGTCTTGGTAAACTACCTAAATCTTTACAACAGTATACCTATTGATAATTTTATTCCCATTTCTCCCTGACTCAATTCACTGACTACTTAATTTCAGACTAATTTACTTAAATCTATTTCAAAAAGCCTTCATCTACTATCTTTACTGTTCTCTAAAATATATATGCCATATATGTATTCTATGCAAAAATATTGTATTTAAATCACCCACCTCACCCGTGAAGTATTCTGAAAGACAAAGAAACCGTGGCAAGATGGAGGACTTGAAGTGAACTGAAAAGTTTCACAAATGTGAGGGCACTAGTGTAAGGTGTCAGGCACACTCATGCTTAAGGTTTTCATTGGCTAATATGACAGTTCTATTGCTTACAGACTAGCTATCCAATATGACAGCCATTAGCCACATGAGGCTATTTAAATTTATATTTAAATTAGGTAAAATTAAAAATCAGTTCTCAGTCTCACTGGCCAAATCTCAGGTGCTTAACAGTCCCGTGAAACAAATAGCTACTGGATCGAACAGCACAGATATTGAGGGTTCCCATCATTGCAGAAACTTTTATTGGGCAAAGCTGCTGTTGCGTTACACTTTAAACCTTTATTATTCTTTTTTTGCCCACACATTTAGTCAAGTTCTTATGTCCCAGATAATGTCCTGAAATTTCTCAAACACTAGTTTATTTTCTCTAAACTGGTATGTCCTGCTTTATTTTTATAACAGTAGTGTATCACATATTTTTGAATTAATAAATGAAACTGACAGGTACTTTCTCCCCTGAGTTTTTATTTGTATATCAGACCCATCAGTCTGATTCATCCCGTTTCCCTCATGATTAGTTTGTAGTGACAATCAGAGCCCCCAAATGTTTGGCTATCAGTATGTCTACAGGAACAGGGATTAGAGTGGGGATAGGGAGCTTTTCTTTCTCTGTTCTGTTTTCCCTTCTCTTCACCTAAAAATACTGTTTTCCCCCTTTTCTTTCCAACCAGCTACAAGCTTAGAAGTACAGATTCGTGTGCATCCTCCTAACATCAAAGGTCTTTTGGTGGAGTGTAATTCAAGAGGTTGGTTCCCACAGCCTCAAATGGAATGGAGAGACAGCAAAGGAGGGGTCATTCCAACTACATATGAATCCCATTCTCAGGATGTGGACAAATTGTTCAACATGAAGATGACCCTTCTTCTTACACAGAGCTCTCGTGAGAATATCACTTGCTACCTTCGAAACCCTGTAACTGGTCAAGAGGAAAGGACAAGCATTGCCCTATCAGGTGAGATCTGTGTGTCTATTCTTCAAAACATGACCATTATAAAATTTATCAACTAAAGGGAAAGAGTAATATACTTTCTTCACTTGGTTTCTAGAATATTACATTTTCTTGGCTTTATCCATCACCTCACTCATTTTCTTTTTTATTTTCTTCTGCTACTTTACCTTTTATCTCTGCCTGTTTGATATTGGAGTTGCCCAAGGCTTAGTCTTTGAGCATTTTCTCCTGTACCTTAGTCCCATGTCATGGCTCAGTGTGCCATCTATATGACAGTGGCTCTCCAGTGGTATCTCCTACCCAGACCTCTGTCCCATGTGTTAGAGAGGGAGATAGATAAGGGACAATGAAAATAATAAATAAGCATAAGAGTTATTATTTATTAATACTCATTGATAAACTAAATTCAGCATCTTAATGTGGAAGTCTAATAAATACCTCAAATCACACACTCAAACACTATACTCCTAGTCACCTTCTGACTTGTGTAATTTATTGCCTTTCCAATCATGCTTCATATTCTCAGTTTCAAAGAATAAAATCCTTGAAGTCATTCTTGACTCCCATGTTTTCTTATATTTCATATCATATGTCAAAAATATAATACTAGTTCTACCTTTAAAATAAGTCCAGAGTCTCACCACTTCTCCCCACTTAATTTCTGCCATCCAAGTCCAAGACACTATCACCCATGGTCTGGATATTGGCAATAGAATCTGGAAAGTTCTCTCTATTTCTACTCTTGTCCACTATGCGATATTCTCAACATATAGGAGAACCCATTTAAAACATGAGGCATACAACATCACCTTTTGTTCAAAACCCTCCAGTGGCTCCTCATTTTATTCAGAGTAAAATGCCCCACAATGTCTTACATCATCTGTGCCCCCATTTTCTATCTAACCTCATCCCCAAATATTCTCCTTTTCCACTCTAGTCTAGTCATACCGACCTCCTTGCTATCTCACAGCTATGCCAGACTAACTCCCAATGTGTGTGTGTGGGGGGGTGTCTTTGGTCTAGTTGCTCCCTCTCCTCAGGGCACTGTAATTCCACTGAATCTCCTTATCTCCTTCAAGTCCATGCTCAACTCTCATCATTTTCATGAGGACCAGTTTGACAAGCCAATTTGAACAATGCAAATGCCCATTTAAAAACTGCCCTGCTATCTGAGATTTCTTATCTTCTTACCCTGCCTTAATTTTTTAATATGGTATTGTATTCTTTAATTTACCCTGTAACTTATTTACTATTTTTATTGTCCCTCATCTACCTCCCTCTCTAACACATGAAAATAGACATCTTTGTTGGTTTTATATACTTGATAAACTCCAACTGCTTCAAGTATTGCATGGTCCATAGTAAATAAGCAATATATATTGTTTACCTATCTGGAATAAAACAAAATGAGTGCCTTATAAACCACCAAGTAAATATATATGTATCAGTATTTGTGTATATACATGAAATTAATGTTGGAGCCAGGTGCTGAAAGGAATCTTCTAATTCAAGACTATTATAATATGAAAAAGTTCCCCAATAGGCTTAACAATTTGCTACTTTTAGATTATTTTTATGTTTATTAGCTCATTTGATCTTCCAGAAAACAACCCGAGCTTCATAGTATGGGTGTGTTGGGAATAGCAAGATGCTTCTATAAGACAAGCAGTTACATGGGATAAAGAAAGACCGAACTACTTACCCTCTGTCCCCAGAGTTTGTAGCAGGATATATATGTAGAAAACAAAGAAAAGAAAATGGGTGAAATCTTTGTTTAGTTATTCACAACTTTAGTAAATAATAAGAGGCCTATTTTTTGAGTTAATACATTCCTAAAGTACACATTAACTTTTTAAAAATATGTATTAAAATAAATGTAATTAACACTGACTTTAGGGATCAGGTTAAAGTTCTGGGAAATAGAGACATCTGAGGGAGACCTTATTTTCCAGTCACTGAACATCACAAAACATAAATAAGATTCAAAACTTATGATAAAGAAAAGATCATAATCGAAATTCAGTCTCACTTAGGACTCTGCCCCTGTCTGCCTTGTAAGCATCATAACAAAGCAAGCTCTTTCTCAGCTCACTGGGTTGCAGTGCGGGGAAGCCCATTTGAAGCCCATATAAGTGTGGCTCCAAAGTCATGTGGTTCTGGGTCCCATAAATTGTACCAGATCCACCCAGGTTCCTGCCCACCAAACATACCTAAAACTATGAGTGGCAGAATTTGTAATTAGCTCTCTAGCAGCCTCTCAGGTTTACTTTCTTGTACATAATGGGATGTTGTAGGTAGACTAGAGAGTTTTCTCTGGGAAGAAAGAATTCATTACCAAATGGAATGACAAGGGCCCATGCCTAGTATGTGCAAGCCAGAGGGCCAAAGGTATTTGTGCATGCAATAGAAAAGAAGAAAAGTTTATATAAACATATGTCTCTAAATGTATTCGGAAGCATAATGCCAGACCCAGTGAATATATTGGAGAATTCAAGGCTGCACTTATAATGATTGCTTAGACAAAAGGACTGAAGGACTGAGTTGGGTCTGAGACTTGGTGGGAAAAAACTAGCCCCTTCAATTCCCCTTTAGTCAGGGGGAACATGAGATAGAATGGATGGGAAGAAATGGGGTTAGTGTGGAGGGGGGCATTCCTCCACTCACCTTTGCTCACACCTGGCTCCGCCCCACTCTAGACCCTTTCTCACTTTTCAACCAGCCAGTTATAACTGTCTTCCCAAACTGGCTTAGGGCTGATATCCCTGGGCCATGAAGTTTTGAATGAAAACATACTTTGGGTAAATTATCATTTCTGGTTTGACGGGTCCAGACGCTCCATGTTTCCTAAGTGATAAGATTTGTGGCTCTCTGTTTCAGATCAATTGTTTCCATGGAACACTATTTGGGTAATGATTCTGAGCATGATTCTGGCTCTGCTGCTGATTTTTGTCATGGTGCCTTGTGTTGATCTACATCGCAGGTTGCAAAGTAAGTAAGTTTGAAGGGTGGAGGATACAAAAGGGGGTGGGAGAGCTAAAGCTGTAATCAATTTAGTTAACATCTATCACTATAGTTACATATTTTTTTGTGAACAAAACTTCTAAGTTCTACTCTCTTACCAAATTTCAAATGTGCAGTACAGTATTATTAACTATAATTTCTCTGCTGTATATTATATTCCCATGACGTTTATTTTCTAACTGAAAGGGAAGTTGGTGTCTTCTGACTCATTTCACCTGTATTACCCATCCCCAAGTGTCCTGTCTCTGGCAAAGAACACTCTATATTCTGTATCTGTAAGCTTGTTTCTTTAAATTTTTGTGTTTTTTTAGATTCCACATGTAAGTGACAACATACAGTATTTATCTTTTTCTTTCTGACTTCACTTAGCATAGTGCCCATGTTGATGCAAGTGGCAAGATTCTGTTTCATTGTGTGTGTGTGTGTGTGTGTGTGTATCACATTTTCTTTATCCATTAATTCATTGATGGACACTTAGGTTGTTTCTATATCTTGGTTATTGTACATAATCCTGCAGTGAACATGGGGATGCATATACTTTTAAGTTAGTATTTTTATTTTCTTTAAATAAATATGAAGTGTCACTTAATGACAGGGATACATTCTGAAGCAATGTATCATTAGGCAATTTCATCACTGTACACTTACACAAACTAGATGGTATAACCTACCACACACATTGGCTATAAAGTATAGCTAATTGTTCTGTAGGGAAGAGAAAAATAATTTCCCCTTTACATTTCTGGGTTCTTAGCTGAGACATCATCACTGTAATTAAAAATAAAACCAACAACAGTTTAATAGGAGAAAGACAAACCAGAGTTAAATATCCTGTATTCTTCTCATATACATGGGCAAGACCCAGGAAAACTAAGTAACTCAACAAAATGGCTGAAGCCAGAGCCTTAGATACCATCTTCAGCTGAAGACTAAGAAGATGCTGGAGTTGGGGGAGTCAGTTATGTGGGATTACCAGAAGAGCACAGCAAACAAGTGTAAAGTGGTTCTGCATCTTAAGTCATTTTCTTCTGCATTGATAAAAGTTTGCAGAGATAAGGCCATCTCCCCCTTCTTGGTAGAACTAGAAAGACACCCTTACAAAGGTACACACATTTTACAAAGGCTGTCTTCTACTTGGTTTGCAGAGCTTCTCCCATGTCTGCTTGGTAAAATTAACAAAACTAAAATGAGCCTTATGCTACATAGACATACTTTGGGGGTGACAAAGTCTGTTCCCCTGCAGCTCCTAGGCTAGAAATCTGCACAGCGTGACACTGTACTGAGTACCGTTGGCAACTGTAACATGATGGTGCATGTCCATGTAAGGCATTGCACTACCACATTGTGACAGCTACGACATTACCAGGAGGTGAAGATTTTTCAGCTCCATTACAATCTCATGGGACCACAATCATATATGTAGTCTGTCATTGACGTAAATGTCCATGGCGGAGGACTGTAGCCAGAAGTAGAATTGCTGTATCATATGGCATTCCTAGTTTTCATATTTGAGGAAACTCCATACTGTTTTCAATAGTGGCTGCACCAGTTTACATTCCCACCAACACTGCACAAGGCCTCCCCTTTCTTCACATTCTGGCCAACACTTCTTATTTTTTGTTTTAACAATAGCCATTCTAACAGGTATGAGGTGATAACTCATTGTGGTTTTGATTGGCATCTCCCTGTTGATCAGTGATGTTGAGCATATTTTCATGGACCCTTTGACCTTTTGTATATCTTCTTTGGAAAAAAATGTTTATTCAGATTCTCTGTCTATTTTTAAAATTGATTTTTTATATTGACATATGAATTCCTTGTATACTTTGGATAGAAAAACCCCTTATCAGATACATGGGGTAACTGCTATAGATTCTGAGGTGGTCTCAGGCCTTGTATGGATACACCTGCCCCACACTTGCACCCTTTGTGGCAGAATTCTTTAGCTTGTGTATCTTTTCTTGATATTACAATACATAATGCTGGCTTCTCTCAGTCTCTTTTGTTTCCCTCAGTGAGAAACAAAACAGTGTTCCTTGTCCCACACACCCTGGCCTGCTTTCTGCTTATGATCTTTATCTACCAGTGCTTGCTCTCACTGCTACCCAACAGGAAATGGGAGCCAGCCACAAAGTGAGGTATGGATTTGGCATGTGGTGTGCTGGGTGTGCCAGCAGACCAATTTGGCAGATCCATGGGTTAGGTTTATCCCATGGCTCACAGGAAGGCTTCTTCATGGAATCCAGAATGCAGTCAGCAAGAACCACATTCCATTAATGCCTTCCTTAAGTCTTACATGCACTTTCTTGATCTGTTCCCTCCCCAGATTCATGGAGCTTCCAGTTGAATACACTGGATACTCTGAGAGATGAATGAGTCTTTCCGAAGCCTCCTCACAGTGGGGGAAGCCAGGCATTTACTCACTGGCTCTCCCATCACCCAAGGGAGAAATCACAGCCATCTCATTTAGCCCCAAACTGTTCCTGCTTGGGGAGGGGTCAAGCTGATCCTCTTAAGCACACCAATGCATCCACACTTTCCTCTCTCTCTGTTGTTTTTTGTGTGTTTTTTTTTCTCCTCTGAAGTGCAGGAACCTCTCCTTGGGAAATATGAACTTTCACAGGACTCTCTCTTAGTAGTAGGTAATTGCTTAAGTCAATGCTTTCATGTGTTTTAGTTCAGCAGAAAGGAGCCAGATGCAGTTCGCAGTCTTCTGAATGTTCCAGAATCTGCACTAGAGACTGTCAGCCTGTTACCTGGTGCACAGGTGGGCAAGACTCCTCCTACACCTCTTGGTATAGGGCCCAGTGCCCCATAACTCTCACAAAACACTGCTTTTTGTAGATGGGTGCCAAATTTTGCTGTTGATGGGGGGTGGGAAACGAGGGACCCCTTATGCTGCCATAATGCTCATGACCTTTGTATGCCATGATTTAACCACTAAGTAAAACTGTGCTTATAATTCTCCAGCAAAAAAAAAATGGGTACCACCTGTGGCAGTAAACCCCGACACCATAGAGTATTTTCATGGCAAAACTAGGTAGCCACATGACAATATAATGACATGTGCTAAATAAGATTTTAAATAATATGTTGTCTGATAACCCATTGATTCATGAGATTCTTAGGCAGTAAGAGGTCTCCAAAGCTATCCTTCTCCTGGCATCTTTTAAAACTCAACAAAATGATAATGACCAGTGCAAACCCTTGTCTTATGCTCTCTGATGAGACATTGATTGATGGGTTAGATGGAGGGAAAAAAATAAGATGAATTGCTTTTTCCAGGTCTATGTAGCCTTAGCCAGAAACCTGTCCCATTCTAGAAACAGCTCTGCTTGCTGTCCTGGTCACCACCAGCTTTCCACCTAACCCTTTAGGACCTTTGGGTCCTTTGGCTAGCTCCTTTAGACTACACCTTAGTCCTATTCTTGTTTTTTTTCTTTATTCCTATTCTAAATTAATATAGAGGGATGGCATTATAATATAGCTCTTGCATGCTTGGTGCATTTTCCCCCAATCCAAAGTGCCTTCAAACCAATAACCAATGATCATTGCATCTTTTTTTCTTCAGGTTGCTGCAGCAAAATGAGACGTCCCTTTGCAGTGGGCACAGGAATAATACTGTCTTCGCTGTGTGTAATCAGCTCTCTTATTTCCTATTTGCATCACAAAAGCAGAGGTATGTGGGATCCAAAAAGTTGACACATCCTGAAAATATTTTCTTTCCCAGTGTCCAATCTCTAGGAAAACATTTAGCCAAAGAAGAGTGATATTTGTTTACATTACAGGTCAAAAATAATTGGGACTCTTGTCATAGGGTTTGGATTTTAGTCTTCCGGGTATTTTGGGTTCATGATATGAACTGCTAATGCTTCTGCCCCGTAGGGAAGGAAAATAATTGCTTAAGTTTTAATAGCTCCACCTAATATTCACCTAATAAAATATGCCGACTCCTTTTATACTTTTAGCTTAGAGGAGGTAGTAATTCAGTATATCTTAAACTTTTGGGGTGTCACAGATTTCTGTTAGAGATGGAAGCAAAGCAAAGCACCTTCTTCTCTATATAACTCATATGTCCACACATATTTTGCTCAATTTCATAGTGTGCACGGACAACTGAAATTGGTCCTTCTCGTCTGGGCTTTCTTTGAGGGTGAAATGATCAATGTAATTGTATAAGTGTTGGAATAAATGAAACTAACACATCTGAAAAGCACCCTCAGCCTTATCTTTGAGGTCCCCATGGAAATTATGTATATACGGTAATGAGAAGTCAGGTAAGGTAATTCTTTATTATAAGCTAGAGATACAGCTACAGCCAAAAAGAAATTATAATATAGAAGTCAGAAAGTGGGGCTGGGTTATTCAGAGGATTTTATTTACTAGTTTTCTCCTGTGAAATGAAAACACAAATGACCTTAAATCAAACCCAACAGAAAGTGCTTTTTACATTTACTCTAAGAAAGTGCATACCTGAGTCTGACATATTAACCATGTTAGCAGATTCAATGCAATATCCCTCAGTGTCAGAGGAAATAAGCAAGATGCTATAATAATAGGTAACACATATTACATACTTACTAGGTGCTCTATGGATTTTATTTAGATTAATATACCATTGACCCTTAACATGGGTTAACTGCATGGACCTACTTATATGAAACTATTTTTCAATAAATAATATTGAAAAATTATTTGGAGATTTGTGACAATTTGCAAAACCTTTCTATGAAACTTGTAGCCTGGAACTATTGACAAAAAAAATAAGAAAAAGTTAAATGTGTCATGAATGCATAAAATATGCGTATGTGTTCTCCTATGATTTCCTTAATAATGTTTTCTTTTCTCTACCTTATTTTATTGTAAGAATACAGTATATAATATTTATAACATACAAAGTATGTGCTAATTTTTTATGTGGTCAGTAAGGCTTCTGGTCAACAGCATAAGCTATTAGTAGTTAACTCTGGGTGAGTCAAAAGTTGTACTCATATTTTTGATGGGTCACTGGATACATATCCCTAACCCCCAAGTTGTACAAGAGTCAACTGTCCTTACTCTCCAGTGATTTAGATTTTATTGGTGATGAAATCTGGTGCACAAAGAAGTGAGATGGTTTATTTACACAGCCAGGTGATGGTGGAGCCAGGACCCCAGCTCCGGCATTTAAATCACTTGGCCCCATGTGTCAACAATTGAACTGTTCCTCTATGAAAAGAAATTAAATGGAAATAAAAAGAGAGAGATTTAGTTGTAGCTATTTTGTGAAAAGTAATAGATCACTGAAGGGAAATGTAGCCTGGGCACTTAGTAATTTAAGGGACTTCCAGGAGATAACCAAAAGCCCCAAGACAGGCTTTAGGTCATGATCATTATCATAACTGACTTGAAATGCTTACAAATGAGTCATGAGATGAAAACTTTATTTTTGTTTGTGCTACCCTGAGAACCTAAAACTGAGTCACAACCTCTACTTCACATCTCTGACAACTCCTGATAATACGCAGATAACCCTGGCCCATCCACTAACCTCTTCTCTGCTTGCTACTGACCCCGCTTCTCTTTACTTAAAATGGACTTTTCCTTGGGGATATTGCTTCCTCTATAAACATCTCATTTAGCAGCCTTCCTCCCTATCCAGGTAACATTCTACTTGCCCCACCTTTTCTGGCCTAATTTTTCTTCCTGGTGCTCATCAATTGAGAAATCACCTATCAATTCATTGAACAAATATGAATTGCCAGAAAGTTCCACAATCACTGTGTACTTTAATTCTGTAACAGTTTATTATAATCTCTCCATCTTGAAGATGCAGATACAGAAGAACATAAAATTTGATTAACTTATATCAATTGATCTAGCAAGCAATAAGATTGATTATTCCTGGGATTTGAACCATGTGTCTCTTCTTCTCAATATTTTACAGTGAATCAGATTGCTTTCCTAATGCAGGTAATTATTTCTTCTAAAAAGAGATAGCCAGCATTGGTGTCTCCAGCAGACATTTTCTGCTGTGCCTGTTCTCTGTGGAGTTTATGCACAGGGAAACCTTCAAGAGATGCACGCCATTGATTTTCAAGAATCAGTGCCAGACAAGAGCCAGACTTCCTTGGTTATTAACTATGTGAACTTGGGGAAGTTATTTAGTCTCTGAACTACAGTTCCCTCATCTGTGAAATATTGATAAAATATACATACTTTATAATGTTGTTTTAGATTAGATTTGTCAATATATCAGAATCATTCAGCCTGGCTTTGCACATGGTACAAGCAATATTATTGTTTGCTATTATTGTCATTATCATTATTATTAGCATTAGTCAGGAATTCTGTCCTGAATCCTTTTCTGGTGACCTCATCTGGTAGGAAAACTGGACTACATGTGTTTGCCATCCTCCTTCTCCACTCCTGAGCTCATGCCATGTCTTTCTTCATTTGCATTCCCTCCATGACCTTAACTTGCCTTCTAAGCATAGGATAGCTCTAGTCATGGGAAGAGGAGAAGAAATAAAAAACTCAGCTTAGACAAAATATAACCAGAGACATTGAAATAAAGAACAAGCAGACAGTGACCAGAGGGGACGGGGGAAGAGATAATGGGGGAAAAAGGGGAATAGTTGCCAAGGAACATAAATAAAGGACAAATGGACAAAGCCAAAGGAGAGATAGGATTGAGGGTGAGAGGTAGGGAAGGGTGGGGCACAGGGGAGTGGTAGAAAAAAAGGGAGACAACTGTACTTGAACAATAATAAAAAACCAAAGAAATATAATCACAAAGTGAAAAAAAAAGCTTAGCTTAAACACACATATACTCCTCTGAGTTACTATTCTCAGCATCTTTGGACTATTTTATTTCCAAGTTTTTTCTTTGATTTGTTTTAAATTATTTTCTTTTTCTTTAAATTTTTTAAATTTTAATCATTGTTCAAGTACAGTTTTCTCCCTTTTACTCCTATTCCAGGCCACCCACCCAACGATCCCCACTTCCCTCCCATTACCACCCTCCCCCTAGTTTTTGTCCATGTGTCCTTTAAATTTGTTCCTCTAAACCCTTCCCATTCTCCCGTGAAATTCCCTCTTCTCTCCTCTCTGGTCACTGTCAGCCTGTCCTCTATTTCAGTGTCTTTGGTTATATTTTGCTTCTTTGTTTTGTTGATTAGGTTCCTATTAAAGGTGAGATCATATGGTATTTATCTTTCACTGCCTGGCTTATTTCGCTTAGCATAATGCTTTACAGCTCCATCCATGCTGTCTCAAAGGGTAGGAGCTCCTTCTTTCTTTCTGCTGCATAGAATTCCATAGTGTAAGTGTACCATCGTTTTTTTTTTGTTTGTTTGTTTGTTTTTTTTGAGCGTGCGAAACGGGGTTTATTGTTGCATTATTTATTTTCTTTTTTTATTATTATTATTTTTTAATCATTGTTCAAATACAGTTTTCTCCTTTTTACTCCCAATCCAGTCCATTTTTTGATCCATTCGTTTACTGATGGGCATCTAGGTTGCTTCCAGCACTTAGCTATTGTAAATTGTGCTGCTATGAATATCCGGGTGCAAAGGTTCTTTTGTATTGGTGTTTTAGTGTTCTTAGGATATAGTCCCAGCAGTGGAATTGCTGGGTCAAAAGGCAGATTCATTTTTAGTTTTCTGAGGAAGTTCCATACTGATTTCCATAGTGGTTGTACCAGTCTACAGTCCTACCAACAGTGCACTAGGGTCCCCTTTTCTCCACAACCTCTCCAACACTTGTTGTTTGTTGCTTTGTTTATGATGGCCATTCTGACTGGTGTGATGTGGCATCTCATTGTGGTTTTAATTTGCCTCTCCAACAAAGCCTCCATCTTGGGACCAAATTATTTTCTATGCCTTATGAGAAGAAGCTTGAAGTTCTCATAAATGTTAATGTTTGGAAAATAGATATATGACAGTATAACCAGCCAAGCAAAGAAGATTATATAGAAAGAAAAAGAATACCAAAGTACTATTAAAATAAAAAATGTCAGAAAAGTGAGAGAAAGATAATACAAATTTGCAGTAACTTGCAGTCTCAAAAAAAAAAAGGGAAAAAAAGCAGAAGATGGAATGCAGGAAAGATAAATTTGGAGTGGGGTGAAAGGAAGAGAAACATAAGGAATTGAGAGATATAAAAATAATAAGAATTAAAAAATAAAAAGTCACTTAAAAAAAACAAGATAAAATCAAACAATCAAACAACAACCACAGCCCCAAAAATAAAAAAAGACCAACCCCTCTTGTTGGTTTCTAACTGGCAAACCAGTTTTTCTGGTCTTGCTGGCTTCAGCAGGCTGAGGGGCTTTTGAAATGTTTTCCTTTCTTCCCAGTCAAAACTCAGTCAGTCTCTCAGGTACTGTCCCCAGGGCCAGCAGCGTGCTCTCCCCAGAGCCCATCTGATGTCCTCCTGCAGAACCCTAGATGTGGGTATGGGCGCTCCCTAGCACGCTCTCCAGGGCTCATTGCCGCAGTCTCCTGGGCTCCGGGGCCCCGCAGAGCTCCTGTGTCTTTTTCAGGTTCATGGTACAAGCTCCAGGGACCCTGAAGGGGCATGCACTTCCACCAATTTCCCTGCTGCGGGTTCCAGGAATCCCTGAAGCACTGGGACCCTTCCGGGTTCACAGAGTGAGAATTGAATTTGAGATTCGGAAGTCCCGGAGGAGCGCGTGCTCCCCCGAGTTCACCCCTGCAGGCTTCAGAAACCCGTGAACACCCGTGCCCTTTTCTTGTTCACGGATGCAAGGTCTGGGTCTTCCACAGAACCACACTCCCACTGGGCTGGGGGCACAGGCGCACATCCAGGCTGCCCCTGGTCACGCAGGCTGGGGGAGCTCATTACTCCCAGGGCTATGCGTGGGTGCCTGCAGCCCCTGCTCGACTGTCTCCAAGTCAAACTCCCCTCTCTGCCTTCAAGCAACAAGACCTCCCCTGGTGTTGCTCAACCCCCATTGTCCCGGGAGGGAGTAGCAACTCCACTCTCCCAGGTACCCTGAAGCAGACCCAGGAGCAACGGGCCTGGGGCCTGCAACTCCCCTGGTCTCCAAGCTGATCCATGGGTCCCTGTTGTCCTGAAGCAGTCTCCTTACCGTCTGGTTTTTCAATGTCTGCTATAATTTTTGATGTCCTGTTTTCATAAATGTTGTGATAATCTAGGCCCCTTGCACTGTTCCTCCACTGATCCTCGAGTTTCTCTCCCCTGCACAGAGGAAGGGGATCACGCTCCCTCCAACAAAGCCGCCATCTTGGGACCAAATTATTTTCTATGCCTTATGAGAAGAAGCTTGAAGTTCTCATAAATGTTAATGTTTGGAAAATAGATATATGTGACTGAGAGAGAGACTTGATGACTCTTCACTCTGATTCCTTTTGCACACCTGGGTAGCAAAATTGCTTCCTACCCGGAGCAATTTTGTTTATTTAAAAATTTATTCTACTAACATTGTAAAATGAATCTGACCTCATCAAGGGCAAATAATTTATCTCAAAATATAGGGAGAAAGCAGATATTAATTAGTTGAATGTTTTACCCCCGCATTTGTACAGTCTAAGACCATCTGGGATATTTCGGATCCTCTATCTCCATGACATGAGAGTTGAGTCCAGCAATCATAATGCCTTGTAAGTCTTCTCTTCTCTAATAACACTATCATCAGTTATTTCCATTGCTGTTTGACATCACTTCCCCATCCTCACCATTTTGGTTGTCTTTCTCTACAAGATAGAAATGTCAGAGGAGGAAGAAATTTTACTCTACCCTTCTAAGCTCTTTCAGCTGGTCTAATGATTAAATCAACATAAGACAGATCAACAAAAGAAAATAACCAAATATAGCGTGCGTGCATACAAGAACCCCACACACTTGAGAGAGTCAGAGACTTCACATACATGAGAGGTTTAGAGACGGAGTGGTAAAATGAGGTGTATGAGACATACTGAGCTAAGGAATAAGTTCACATGTCTAGAGGGAAGAAGGGCAATTCATAGAACAATAAGAAGAGCAAATGGTAAGGAACTAAACATTTGCCCTACCATATCGACAGGTCCTAAAAGGTTATCTCTGATAATAACTCTTACAATGGGCAAGTCCTTAATTAAATTGCTTAAGGGAGAGGTAAAAACTTCTCTTGCACTCATATTGTCTTGATTGCCTTTGGCTCAAAGTAATCCATGTGCCAAAGCAGCACATCTTGGGGCATGAACCCATTCAGTATGAATCAATGAACAATCTCTATCAATAAGGCAAACTACAGTTGATATAGGAAAGTAGATATAGCTGCCCAGTAATAAAACAGATATCCTAACTGTTGGCAATGGTGCTCCCATCATGAGATTATATTAACCAATATTATGAGATGGGGATGTTATCCACTTTAGAATCACCCAAAAAAGACTATTTAAAGCAGACTTCTGCTGCAGATAAGAGGGTGACTTTTGAGAATTTTAAGATCTCCTCCATCTCAGAGATTCTGCTCATTTTAGACTATTCTTGAAGGCCTATGACACCAGACTGAAACAACAAAGACATAATGTGTCTGTCTCTACTGCAAATACTGGCCAAACAGAAAGCAAGTGCAATGCTGCCTGAGTGGAAGAATGTGTATCTGCCTCTACACAGCCCTCCTCCAGAGTCAGCCCTAACATACTCATCCCCATGATCATCTTCATAGCCCAGCCCACTTCTTCCCCACCCTCCTGTCAGCCCAGAAAGATAGAGGAATAAGAACTTGAAAGTAAATCTCTTATAAATCTGTGACCCTCTTGGTTCTTGCACCTCTTTCAGTTCCTGCTTCAGATCCACATTTCCAATTGGATACCGTCTGGTTGGAGGACATGACTATGATCCTGTGTGTTCTGACTGTCTTCATCACCATGATCATTTCCTTTATTTACTTTAAATTCAGAGGTAAGTGGAAGGGGAAGGGTGGTAACTCAGAAGGTATTGATCATCTGACTGATCTCCAGGTGTTCCAAGAGATGACCTTCCTGGCCTTGTGGCTTAATAGCAAGGAAGAAGAAAAAAACCTATGCCATACATAAGTGTTTCCTGATTGGAGACTTCTTGAGGCTCTTGGGGTTTCTACAAGTGCCAGTGTTAGTGCCTCAGATTCCAATGGCAGTCTCAGTTCAAACTTCACAACTGTGACAACTCTCTCAAGTGTACTTGGAAGGCCCAACTTTTTTATCCACAAGCACTCACTAAAACTTCCTGTATTCTGAGCTCTTTGCAAGGCTTGTTTTTTCTATTTTGATCTCAGAGGCAGAATTGAAAACTTAATATTATAGTTTCTCTTTCAGAAATTCTGTGTCCACAGAAGCTACACCAGAAACACTTCTAAACCTATATTCACAGGAGGGCACATAACTTTGAAATACCCCTTTATTATGCTAATATAGTCTCCTTATGAAAATGAAAAGAAATGCAGATTTATTCATCCAGGAAGAAAAAGAATGGAATTCTTTTTCCCCCTATTTTTTAAATTTTATTTTAATCATTGTTCAAGTACATTTTTTCTGTCCTTTACTCCCATTCCAGCCCACCCACCCATCCCTCCCTGCCTCCCTGCCTCCCTCGCATTTCCATGCCCCCTATTTATTGTCCATATGTCCTTTATATTTGTTCCTGTACACCCTTACAATTCTCCCCTGAAATTCCCTCTTCTCTCCCCTCTGGTCATTGTCAGCCTGTCCTCTATTTCAGTGACTTTGATTATACTTGGCTTGTTTCTTTGTTTTGTTGTTTAGGTTCCTGTTAAAGGTGAGATCATATGGTATTTGTCTTTCACTGCCTGGCTTATTTCGCTTAGCATAATGCTTTCCAGCTCCATCCATGCTGTCTCAAAGGGTAAGAGCTACTTCTTTCTTTCTTTCTGCTGTATAGAATTCCATTGTGTAAATGTACCATCATTTTTTTGATCCATTCATTTACTGGCGGACACCTAGGTTGCTTCCAGCACTTAGCTATTGTAAATTGTGCTGCTATGAACATTGGGATGCATAGGTTCTTTTGGATTGGTGTTTTAGTGTTCTTAGGATATAGTCCCAGCAGTGGAATTGCTGGGTCAAAAGGCAGATTCATTTTTAGTTTTCTGAGGAAGTTCCATACTGATTTCCATAGTGGTTGTACCAGTCTACAGTCCTACCAACAGTGCACTAGGGTCCCCTTTTCTCCACAACCTCTCCAACACTTGTTGTTTGTTGCTTTGTTTATGATGGCCATTCTGACTGATGTGAAGTGGTATCTCATTGTGGCTTTAATTTGCATCTCTCTGATAGCTAGTGATATTGAACATCGTTTCATGTGTTTTTGGATCCTCTGTAAGTCCTCCTTGGAGAATTGTTTGTTCAAGTCCCTTACCCATTTTTTAATTGGGTTGCTTGTCTTTTCAGAGTGGAGCCGTGTAAGTTCTTTATATATTTTGGAGATTAAACCCTTGTCTGAGGTATCATTGGCAAATATATTTTCCCATACAGTTGATTCTCTTTTTATTTTGATACTGTTTTCCTTAGCCATGCAGAAGCTTTTTATTTTGATGAGATCCCATTTGTTTATTCTTTCCTTTATGTCCCTTGCTCTAGGAGACATGTGAGTAAAAAGTTTCTGCATGAAATATCTGAGATTTTCCTACCTACATTCTCCTCTAGGACTTTAATGGTGTCACGGTTTATATTTAAGTCTTTCATCCACCTTGAATTTATTTTTGTATAAGGTGTAAGTTGGTGCTCGAGTTTCATTTTTTTTGCAGGCAGCTGTGCAGTTCTCCCAACACCATTTGTTGAGTTGAAGAGGCTATTTTTACTCCCTTTTATGTTGCTGCCTCCTTTGTCAAATATTAATTGACCATAGAGATTTGGGTTTATTTCTGGGCTTCTGTTCTGTTCCATTGGTCCATGTGTCTGTTTTTATGCCAGTACTAGGCTGTTTTGATTACAGTGGCCTTGTAGTATAGTTTAGTATCAGGTATTGTGATCCCTCCTACTTTACTCTTCTTTCTCAAAATTGCAGCAGCTATTTGGGGTCACTTATGGTTCCATATAAATTTTTTAAGTGTTTGTTCTATGTCTGTGAAATAAGCCATTGGTACTTTAATAGGTATTGCATTGAATGTGTAAATTGCTTTTGGTAGTATGGACATTTTGATGATGTTAATTCTTCCAATCCATGAATGCAGTATATGTTTCCATTTGTTTGTGTCTTCCCTGATTTCTTTCCTCAGTGTTATGTAGTTTTCTGAATACAGGTCTTTTACCTCTTTGGTTAGGTTTATTCCTAGGTATTCTCTTTTTCTTTTTGCTATTTCAAATGGGATTTTTTTTTCTTGATTTCTGCTTCTGCTGTTTCATTGTTGGTGTACAGAAATGCCTTTGATTTCTGGATATTGACTGTGTATCCCACTGTTTTGCCAAATTCATTTATTAGGTCTAGCAGTTTTTTGGCCGAGTCTATAGGATTTTCTATGTACATTATCATGTCATCTGCAAACAGTGACAGTTTTGTTTCCTCCTTTCCAATTTGGATGCCTTTTATTTCCTTTTGTTGTCTGATCACTGTGGCTAAAACTTCCAGTACTATATTGAATAGCAGTGGTGAAAGTGGACAGCCTTGTCTTGTTCCTGATCTTAGTGGAAAAGATTTTAGTTTTTGCCCATTGAGTATGATGTTGGCTGTAGGTCTTTCATATATGGCCTTTATTATGTTGAGGAATGCTCCCTCTATTCCCACTTTGCTGAGTGTTTTTTATCATAAATGGGTGGTGCACCTTATCAAATGCTTTTTCTGCATCTATTGATATGATCATGTGGTTTTTGTCTTTGCTTTTGTTTATGTGATGTATTACATTTCCTGATTTGCGAATATTGTACCATCCTTGCATCCCTGGGATGAATCCCACTTGGTCATGGTGTATGATCTTTTTAATGTACTGTTGGATGCGGTTTGCCAGTATTTTGTTGAGGATTTTAGCGTCAATGTTCATCAGCGATATTGGCCTGAAGTTTTCTTTCTTTGTTGTGTCTTTATCTGGTTTTGGAATTAGGATGATGTTGGCCTCATAAAAAGAGTTTGGGAGTCTTCCATGTTTTTTGGATTTTTGGGAATAGTCTGTGAAGGATAGGGGTTAGCTCTTCCTTAAATGCTTTCTTCTGTGAAATGGTTTCACAGAAGAATTCTGTGAAACCGTCTGGTCCAGGGCTTTTGTGTGTCAGACTTTTTTTGATTACTGCCTGAATTTCTTTTGCTGTTATTGGTCTGTTCAGGCTTTCTGCTTCTTTTCCATTGAGTTTTGGAAGATTATATTTTGCTAGAAATTTGTCCATTTCACCTAGGTTTTCAAATTTCTTGGCATACAGTTCTTCATAGTAATTTCTTACAATCCTTTGTATTTCTGTGGTATCAGTTGTAATCTCTCCTCTTTCATTCCTGATTGTGTTTATTTGGGTCTTCTCTCTTTTCTTCTTGATGAGTCTGCTTAAAGGCTTGTCGATTTTGTGCATCTTTTCAAAGAACCAGCTCTTGGATTCATTGATCCTTAGAATTGTGCTTTTAGTCTCTATGTCATTTAATTCTGCTCTGATCTTGGTTATCTTCTTCCTTCTGCTTGCTCTGGGCTGTCTTTGTTGTTGTTCCTCGAGTTCTTGTAGACATAGGGTTAGGTTGTTTGTATGAAAATTTCTATCTTTTTTTTAGGTAGGCCTGGATCTCTATAAACTTCTCTCTCAGAACTGCCTTTGCTGTATCCCATAGGTTTTCAGTTGTTGTGAGTTCATTTTCATTTGTTGCCAGAAACCTTTTGATTTCTTCCCTAATATCATTCTTGACCCATTCATTGTTTAATAGCATGCTATTTAATCTCCATGATTTTGAGTGTTTTGGTTTTTTTTCCCTTGGGGGTTGGTTTCTAGCTTCAGTCCCTAGTGATCCAAGAAAATGCTTGGTATGACTTCAATTTTCTTGAAATTGTTGAGGCTTGTTTTGTGTCCTATCATGTGGTCTATCTTTGAAAATGTTCCATGTGCATTTGAAAAGAATGTGTATTTAGCTTCTTTGGGATGGAGGGCTCTGTATATATCAGTTAAGCCCATTTCATCTAGGGTATTGTTCAATGCCACAATATCTTTGTTGATATTTTGTTTGGAAGATCTGTCCACTTTTGACAGTGGGGTGTTAAAGTCCCCCCACTATAATTGTGTTGCTGTCAATATCTTTCTTGAAGTCCTCTAAGATTTTCTTTATGTATTTCGGTGCTCCTGTGTTGGGTGCATATATGTTTACAATATTTATGTCTTCTTGGTGGATTCTCCCCTTGAGTATTATGAAGTGACCTTCTGGGTCTCTCTTTATGGACCTTTTTTGGAAGTCTATTGTGTCTGACATGAGTTTTGCTACCTCGGCTTTTTTTCCTGTCCATTTGCTTTGAAAATTGGATTCCAGCCCTTGACTTTCAGCCTGTGTAGGTCTTTCATCCTGAGGTGGGTCTCTTGTAGGCAGCATATGTGTGGGTCATGCTTTCTTATCCATTCAGCTATTCTATGTCTTTTGATTGGAGCATTTAATCCATTTACATTTAAGGTTATTATTGATAGGTACTTATTCATTGCCACTTATGTACGTGTGCTCCTCTCTCTCTTTTCCCTCCTTTCTTTAAAGCAGTCCCTTTAGCATCTCTTGCAGAGCTGGTTTGGTAGAGGTGTATTCTCTTTGACTTCTTTTGTGTGAGAAGCTTCTTATTTGGCCTTCTATCTTGATTGATAGCCTTGCTGGGTAAAGTAGCCTTGGTTGAAGACCTCTGGTGTTCATTACTTGGAATATTTCTTGCCATTCTCTTCTGGCTTGGAGTGCTTCCATTGAGAAGTCAGCTGTTAGCCTTATTGGGGCTTCCTTGTATGTTCCTTCTTGTTTCTCCCTTG